AACTATTTGCATAATACTATAATAGCAGTAAGTTGGCACAAACAAGCAAAAGTGAAATCCCTTCAGCTTATCTGCCAGCCTGACTGCTGAAAGGTGATACTACATTCAACTGACAAAAATAAATGCCTACTACTAATATACACTGAGAGTTCAAATCATGACCAAAAGCAAAACATTATAGTGGCCATAGAATGTGAAGAATTTAAATATGATATACCCACATTAAGCTTTGCATCTTAAGTTCATTTTTACCCCACTTTGCAAGTAAGACTGTCCCTATTTCCCGTCAATACAAGCAATTGTAATTGGCAGCATCTCGACTCATGTAAGATTACTCTCCAAGTCTCTATTACCCGCGTTGAATGTATGATTACTCTCTAAGTCTCTATTTTCAGCTGTATGAGACAAACGGTACACAATTTATTTATTCATCCTTCAAAGATGGCAATCGCAGTATACACATGCAGTATGTAAGAATGTAAGTCATTTGTCAGCATAAAAATAAATACAAAATTAGCAATCCCAAAGTCTCAACCATTCAACATGCTGAATTACACAAACCATAAAAAAAAACTGGCAGACAGCTCAAATACTCTTCCATAAGAGCATTCTGATATGCAATAGTCCTCTAAAAGCCCAACTTACAAGATCATATAGCACAGAAGAAAGAGAGGAATTCAGAAAGAATCTATCCCCAAAGAGAAAGGAATTAAAATTCCACCTTTAAAAGCTAGACCAATACAAGACACAGGTTACAGGCCTATTGTAAACATCATAAATAAGCAAAGTTGGAAATCAATTGATGAACAATTCAGAGTACGGACCTGTAAAGTGAAAAGCCGGTCATCAAACTGAACTTCCTTGGTCAAAAAATCTGCACCGATAGTGGCCTTGTATTGGTTGCTGAATTTCTTATTTACATATCTAATCACGTGAGTTAAAGGTAACAACTCTAGAGGAGATAATGTAACTAGCACAAACACCTATATAATTATTAGAACTTCCTATCCACTACACAAAACCGAAAACGATATTTCCTTATCTACTTTATAAGTATGTCACAACACAAGGATACTGATTCATCAATGAGGTCTTCCCCACTCTGCAAACACACAGCAAGACAAATGAGAACATGAAGAAGACAAATTTAATGGAAAAAGAAAGAGTGTATTAATTTGTAAACACTTTTTCTACTCATATGACCATATGAACATAATTCAAATTTTTTATCAGAAACTCATACAACCATATAGTTAAGCTTAACGACTTTGCAGTTATCAGAGGTGAACTTTGATAATTTTTCAGAGAAAAAATATTTTGCTACTCATATCAATCAGAATTCTCTAAGCTTTATTGAATCTAAATTAGTCAATTATATGTAATTTCCAACTTCACTGAATTTATCGATCCTACTTTTAAATATTCTTTCAGGTGCAATTTCCAGCATTAAAAAATTTGCTAAGAATATTAAATAATTGACATGTTGTAGCTAAAATAATTCTGTACTAAATTAAATAACAGCAAAAATTTAAACCTAAATTAATAATCTACTATCAAAATTTAGTAACAAAACAACAAAATTAAAATTAATTCACGATTTCAGGACAATTACACATAAAATCAGAAGGAAACCAATAATTGAAGATTAAATTAAGTTCAAACCTACTTCACTAAATTGCTGTCTTACACCTGAATCAATCAATTCACCGCAATAATCAACTTGATTATGTGTAATCTCCAAGTTAACTGAAGTGTTTATCCTACTATAACATGATGTTTCAGGTGCAATTTCCAGCATCTATCGATTTGCTATAATATCAAACAATTGACATGCTATAGCTAAAATAATCTAGAGTAAATAACAAAAACAGCAAAAAAAATTAAACCTAAATTAGCAATTTATTATCAAAATTCAGTTACAAAACAGCACAATTGCATATAATTCACGACGATTACACATAAAATCAGAATGAAAACAACAATTGAAGATCAAATCAAGTTCAAACCTAAAAAAAAAAAAAAAAAAACAGCAAAAACAATACATAGAATTGAATGATTTACACGAAATTAAACCTAAAAAACTGCAGAGATCGCGAGTAAAAAACAAGAGATGAAGTACAAACCCGCTATCACCGAGAATGATGACCTTCAAGAGAGTTCTCCTTCGCGACGGCATCTTGAAATTCTGGAAATCGGCGATCTAGAGGAGAGAGAAAGTGAAGAACAGCGAAGAAGAGAGAGAAAACGAGGAGGTGGGTAATCAATGAAGGAGTAGGACCTTTCTGGGAGTATATATAAAAAGTAAAGTGAATCATGGGACTGTGATACTCATCGTTTATAAAGTGTTGGGACTTTTCTGAGTTTTTGATGCATCGTGATTCGTGGCTTACTAGGATTTCCACTCTGTTTAGGACTAGAGGTGTCAATACTCAATTAGATGTTCGGATGGGTGAGGTGGAGTCAGGTTTGGCCGGTTGGGTCGGGTCATGATATATCGGATCAATTTTTCAAGTTGAGTCATGATAAATTTTTGTATCTAAAATTAGAATTTATAAATTTTTGCTCCATTTGTCTTGGACACGCATGTCGATGCTAATCTTTGAACACTAATATCTTTAATTGTCAATAAGTATAAATTCTAGCAATTGAAAATTAATAATCTATTCATCGAGATAATTTCAACAAGTACCCACATTACTATATTTTTTCTTATGTATAAATCACAAACATTAGTCAAAGTAGGACAAATGAATAGTGCAAAAAAATAGAATTGGAGCAAGTATTTAAAAGCGGAGGGCGTATTACCTTCGTTACAAGCTATGGGCAACGATTTGACATAAAGTAGAGAGGGAAAATGTCTAATCGTTGCACATAACCTGTAACGGAGGTAGGGATGTCAGTGGGGTGGTTTAAGTAGGAGACCCGCCCCATCCCCACCCTAATGGGGTCTCAATTTGGCGGGTGGTGGAGCGAGGATGGGGATAAAAACCATACTTGCCATGGGTGATGGGGCGGGGATGGATTTTAAGTTGTACCCGCCCCATCCCCGGCCCACCCCACCCGCCTCATCCTCACCTAATACCTACATTTATATATCTTTAAAAACAAAATCATATACTTTTATACTATTTTATAAAATAATTACGTGAAATAAAATATTAATTATAATACTTTGTACTACACTTATATTATAAACAAAAACGTGTGTAATATTAAGATTAAATTATTTTTATTGTAATCCGTATTAATTATGTTGGATTGTGTATTTGAAAGGCGGGTCTTGGGTGGGGATTAGGCGGGTTTTTGATGGAGATTAGGTGGGGGTGGATATCCAAGTGGGGGGCGGGGCGGGGATGGTTTTGGAGTTGTATATGTCGGGGCGGAAATGAGGATGAATTCTGGACCCGCCGCGAGGATGGAGATAGGAAGGCCAACATCCGCCCCGCCCATTGACATCCCTAAACGGAGGTAGTATTAATAATTTATCGAGTTCACGTTTTTCCCTTCTCTATAAAAATCATCTAAAAGGTTGAGTCAAATTGGTTCATCCTACACATATACGTAGGGCTGTTCATCGGTCCAAGACTGGACCGGACCGGACCAACCCGGATAAGACCGAAAATTAGAATTTTAAGAACCGAATACCGGACCAATTAAGTTAGGACCGAACTCGGAACGGACCGAAAGAATCGGTCCAAAACCCGAACCGGACCGTTTTGGACCGATTTAAGATTTTTTTTAAAAAGAATATTAATTTTTAATAAAGTCAAGGAAAACACAAAAAAAAAAAAAATTGGAAAAACGATATTGTAACGTCATTTTTGCGTCTTTTTTTGTATGTTTAGTGGAAAAAAATTTATAAAGTTAAAGTATTCTAAGCTTATTAAGGATAATTTTAAACGTTTTTTAAGGTTTCACACATATTTTTTATAAAAAAATCGGTCCGGTCCAAAACCGGTTTTTATAGGATTTTGTACCGGACCGGACCGAAGACCGGAAAAATGAATTTTAAGACCCGAAGACCGGACCGATTAATTCGGTATGGTCCGGTCCAGGGTGGTCCGGTCCATTTTTTCGGTCCGGACTGATTTATGAACACCCCTACATATACGCAATATTAGATGAGTCTATGATTCCGAAATTGAGCCGAAGGTTTTCGCATTGTTGATTTCTTGGTGCATTATTCTTTTAGAAATTTAATTAGTGAAGGGTCATCTTTATATACTAAGGAACACGATTTTATCCTACCCTATAAAAATCATCTCTAAGATTCCATCCTGTGTTGTATATATACGGAGTATTAGCAAGAAGAATATACGATCCAATTTGGGTTGATACCGAATAGAATAGATAAGTTGAACAGATGGTTTTTGATCTTGGAAAAACCTTATTTTGTGTTTTTTTAACCAAATTGATGACCAATTTACCTTTTAAAAAATAAATTAGTGACAGATTATATTTATACATTTTTATTAGTAAAATAACTAAGCTTGAATATGTTTTATTGTTTTAATTCCAATTGACTTGCATATTAAGATTAGGATATATGTGATAATTTTGTGAGAGAAAAAAATGTTGCTAAATTTACTTTTGTAGATGTGTTATGATCATAGATTCGGTCTAAAGTTGAACCTTAAATGAAGTCTTTAGTCCTGGCAGAAAAATTTCAATCCAATTCCCGATCTATTAAAATAAGTAATTTAATTCGAATCTTTTAATTTAATATGATTTGGTGCCATATGACCTTGAAAAAAAAAAGAAAAAAAGAGAAGAAATATTTTACATGTAGTAATCCACTAACAAAAGGCCTATGACCTATGAAATATATAAAAACATTACATATGTATATATATGCACTAAGAAAGAGTACCCAAAGAAATTTTAACAAGATATGCGCGTGATCAATCCTATTAATTAGCAACACATTGTAGATAATAAATACCTCAAATTTAGTTTAATCCTTGACAATGAATTGAATTAAACAAAAATAGAGAAAGGAGGCCAACCAATGGTTCCTATTATGTAGGAGGTGGATGGAGTAGGAAATGACGTTGCCCATTTTCTTGTTAGATCTTTCATTAGCATGACCTTTCTTTTTACTCGCTCTTCTTTTGTGAATCAAATGCCCTTCTCCTCCTCATAAGGTTGCCTTCTACCATATCCTATCCTCCTCTTTCCCCTCTCCCCGTTTTCGATTATAAGTAAATTATCGTGATATATGCATTCATAAAAAGTGTTGAGAGAAGATTTTCCTAACTTTGTTGATTGATTTTCCGATTTTTATAAGATTTGTTATTATGTGATTTAATGGCTCATCGTGACATTTTGTTATTAATGATTTTGTTGTATGGATTTAGGGGTCATTTGTTTGGAGAAGCGGCAACATAAAAAAATCACATATCAATCGGTGAATTTTACTAACAAGATATTAAAGAATGGGTTCATCAGATAATAATGGTAGTGATTCTTCATTATCTCCGTCTGAATCTCCTCCAAATTCAAATAATTCATCATCATCATCATCAGATAATAATAATAATAACAACTCTTCCCCTCCTCCTTCGTCGGATTCTTCATCATCATCATCATCCTCCGATAACAATAACAACAATTCACCCCCTCCTCCGCCATCGGATTCATCTTCTAATAAGTCACCCCCGCCATCACAATCACCACCACCACCGCCGCCGCCGCCTCCTCAATCATCGGACAATAACAACAACAATAAAACCAATGGCAGTAACAAAAACAACTCGCCGCCACCACCACCACCTCCTTCCTCGTCTAAAAACAAGTCTCCATCACCACCACCTCCAAGTTCATCGAAAGGGTCGCGGTCTTCATCTTCGCATTCTCCTCCATCACTAAGTGATGATTCTTCGTCTCCACCATCGTCGTCGTCTAATAATAATAATGTTACTCTAATAGTTGGAGTTGTGGTTACCCTTGGGGTTTCATTATTGCTATTGATAGTCATAGTGGTTGTTTGCTCTAAGAGGAGAAAAAACAAGCGACATGACACCATGCAGTATTATGGAGGTCCTTCAAGTAATGGTATGAATTTATTTGATTATCGATCATTGTCCTTTTTTTTAATGTATGATTATCATTGTCTTAATTATATACAACATATTATTTAAATTTAATAGTACTTGATATCAAATTACTACATTAGCACCTTTTTCACTAATCATTTATTATTTATACAATATTTAAACTTACTTTTTAATCCACAAAATAATGTAACTAATTATTGTTGCTTTATATTCAATTAAACTTAACAATGAGAAACTTATAGTAATCTTCTTATGTCCTATCATTCCAACAATTGTCATTTTATTTTTAAATAAAGATTATCATTTATTTTAATTTAAGCTGCGAATAAAAGATATAGTATATTATTACTTCTATCACATAAACATGTAACGTAACAATCAAATGTGTACTGTATTGTACAATTGTGCATTAGCAATTATCCTTCTCAATTAATATATTCGTTTTTCTAATTTTTATTTTTTAAAATAAAATACAATACTAATTTATCTCTTTATGGTTAATTTCAATAATTATGTACTAGGCCAACAATATAACGGCCAACAACAATATAGTAGCCAACATGCACCTTGGCACACAAGCCCCGGTCAACACCAAGACTCAAACAACTACGCTACAGATCCAACGGGTATGTCCTCGGCACAATGGGGCGGTGGCGGCGGCCAACCGATGATGCCACCCCCGCCTATGATGAGCGCGGACATGAGTAGTGCAAACTACTCCTCAGGGCCAACAGGTCCTGCCTTACCACCACCTCACCCATCAGTAGCCCTTGGGTTTAGTAAAAGCACCTTCACATACGACGAGCTAGCAGCCGCGACAAATGGCTTCTCCAAGGAACGATTGTTGGGTCAAGGAGGGTTTGGTTATGTCCACAAAGGGTTGCTACCTAATGGCAAGGAAATAGCCGTGAAGAGCCTTAAGTCAGGGAGCGGCCAAGGCGAAAGAGAGTTCCAAGCTGAAGTTGAGATCATTAGTAGGGTGCATCATAGACATCTTGTATCCCTTGTGGGTTATTGTATTGCAGGAGGTCAAAGGATGCTTGTTTATGAGTTTGTTCCTAACAATACCCTTGAGTTTCATCTTCATGGTATGCTGCTATTTAAAGCCTATATTATTCCGATCTTTTTATCAAAATAATATGCTGCATTTCTATTAGTCAAGTCTTTTCAAAATAAAATGGCATTTGTCAGCATCTTTAAAAGAATTTTAAGAATGATTATAAACTTTTGTCTTGGTACATTACGCCAAGATCATGGTATTTTATTATTGCAATAAATCAAGTGTATTCAATATAATTTCAACTACTTTTATCGAATAGGGTATTACTTTAATATGTTCGATTCCATATATGTTTTTTTGTAGGTAAAGGTCGTCCGGTCATGGATTTCAATACGAGAATGAAAATTGCGCTTGGATCTGCCAAGGGCCTAGCTTACCTTCATGAAGATTGTATGAACCATTACTAACATGTTCCTTTCATATTATAATTAAGCATTTTATAGGATTTTTTTTTTTTTTTTGTATAGAAATGGTTAACATATGTTTGTACATATAGGTCACCCACGAATTATACATAGAGACATTAAAACCGCAAACATTTTGATTGATAATTGCTTCGAGGCCAAGGTTTGCACATCGCACATTCTTCATATACGTAATTCGAACATTACAATATTTGCTAATTTGTTGCAACTTGACATTATAAGAGATAACATTTTCATTCAGGTGGCTGATTTTGGCTTGGCTAAGCTTTCGTCGGACACATTCACTCATGTGTCAACGCGTGTCATGGGAACATTTGGGTAAGAATCTTAACATCAATCCTTTCCCTTGGTTGCTGCTATAAGCTCAATTTTATCCATTGTTAGTTACATAATCTTCCTTTTATAGTATTCGGGTACTCCTGACACACAGATCGATCTTGGTGTTTTCATATGTAGGCTTTGATCATTTTTTGCTCATTGAAAATTCTCCAAATAAAATAGAATAATATGGTTACATGAGTAATAAAATACACTTAAATATATAGCTTTAGGTGTACCCGAGTACAATATGGAAGTTTTAATATCTAATCTCTTGAAACCAGGTACTTGGCACCAGAATATGCATCAAGTGGAAAATTGACCGAGAAGTCTGATGTTTTCTCATTCGGTGTCATGCTATTAGAGCTAGTCACGGGCCGTCGCCCTATCGATCCTTCATCTGAAGAAGAGGATAGCTTAGTAGATTGGGTTAGTCATTTTATTTACATAATAGTGTCTCATTTTCATTGGTTCAAATGTTCAATTCATTACATAAAAATCGAGCATATATAGCTAAATCTTAGTTTGATTAACCTTGCACATAATTTGTTGCTATTTACTTGTTGCTAACTAGATACATAAGTTTAAAACATGATTTTTGTTAGTACTTAAAACATCATATGAATAATAACTACAATATCTAATGTATGTGTTACACATAAACAGGCTAGACCACTTATTGCACGAGCAATGGAGGAAGGAAATTTCAGTGGACTCGTCGATCCACGTTTAGAAGGTGAATTTGATTCCGAAGAGATGATGCGTTTGATCGCATGTTCTGGCGCATCCATAAGACATTCTGGTAAAAGGAGGCCGAAAATGAGCCAGGTAAAAATACTCGTATTAATCTTTGTACTATAATTATGTGCACTAACTATTTCAATTACTTACTAACGTCTTCTCAAACATATACTTATAAAAATAACACAAGTAACACAAATTCACGTACACTAATTATAAATACATTTGATTGATTTATTACGGTCTTTAAAAATAATCATCTAATGAAGTAAAATATGAAGGAGCTCCAGTTAATCTCAAAAATTAACATTTCAGTTTATCTCCTCTTAAAATTTTATGCATTGATTTTTGTGCCACTTAATAATATGTGAAAATTGTTACGTAAATAACAGATTGTAAGAGCATTAGAGGGTGATGTATCATTGGACGACTTGAATGAAGGAGCAAAGGCTAGAAATGGTAGCACACTAGTTGGCTCTAGTGGCGGTAGCTCGGACTATGATACCGTTTCATACAACAATGACATGAAGAAGTTTAGACGAGCAGCGCTTAACAGTACAGATTATCCAAGTAGTGAGTATGGAGCAACTAACGAGTATGGGCATACCTCCGGTTCTAGCGCCGAGATGTCGTCCTCAATGCCCAAAAGGACTAGCCCTTCGCCGAACCATTTTGTCTAGAAGGGAGGTTACATATTGTACAATTTGAATAACACTTCGACAATGTGGCAAGACGTTCTACTCCAGCAAAGGAATAAGGAAGGGATGAATTGGGAACGATCAGATTTTTCGTGAACTACTGTATATTTTTTCATTGATAACCCCATTCTTGTTGTTCAAGTGTAACATAACTTGAAACAATTACGTGATTTAGGTGTCTACTTAAGATTTGTTTTAATGTACGTTTTCAATCACGTTTTTTTTATTGATAGAGAGATTGTAGTTTTATATATTGTGTTATGGAAACAAGTTGATGGTTAAATGAAACATAAAATATGATTTATTCTTTTTTTTTTTTTTTTTTTTTGTAAGATATAATCGTCAAACATATACTTTATCTTTGTAAAATAAAAAAAACATATACTTTATCATTTTCTTTTAAAAAAACATATACTCTGGATTTCATTGATAAACCTATATTCTCACCCCTAATATTATTGATAAATGTTCAACTTTGTTAACTTATTGAACTATCTTACAAAAAAAAAAAATGGACTAAATTATACAGTACATATATGGAATTTCTTTTTTTCCCTATAAGAGGTAATGTTATGATGATGAAAGTAAAGACAAATCAATATAGTTAGGGTTATGTATTGGATTTGTGTGGAAAAGAAATAACTAACAAATACGTAGTATGAAATATAATATGAGAAAATAAATATAATAAGGCCCCGTTCAGTTCACTTTATTTTTGCTGAATTGAAATTAAATTTAATGATTTTCTATTATATATCTTCTTTAAAATTACCGATTTTTACAAAACTGAAATTATTTTTACTGAACTGAAATTATTTTTACTGAACTGAAATTATTTTTGCTAAACTGAACTTATTTTTACTGAATATTATTTTTATAAGATGAAGTGAACAAGGTGTAAATGCACAAAGCGAATTATACATGGTTCAATAAGCAAATAGTTGAAAATTAATTGTATTTTTAAGTGTTGTGTCAGACTAACAATAATAAAAAATGAAAGCCTCCAAGTCGTTTTTTTCCATAAAATGTTTTTTGTGGGCCCCAAAATGAAAAATACGGGAAAATATGCGATAATTGGAAAACAAGGAAGTTGCTAATAAACAGTCCTAGAAGATTGGGAAAAGGTTTAGAATAGTAGGGGGATCGGATGGGTTTTTGACACTTTGTTACATCCCAAATTACCCTTCTTGCGCGTTTTTGGAGGTTTGAGGTTGTTTTTGACCAGGAATGTGTCAATTGACCCTAAAACAGAGTTATTGAGGGACAATTTGTGTTACCTGATGATAAAATATGAGATAAGATGTGATACTTCGATTACAAACATAAATAGTAGTATGATTATTATCCATAGTCTATCTATCAACACATCACATCACATTAATAATCAACAACACACATGCGAATAGTGATATGATTATCCATATTTACATCATAACATGTGTTATTTTCCAATTTCAAGTCATAGTGTCAAGTCAAATCAAATCACACCAATATTATAGTTATATGACACCATTTTCCTAATATATACTCTAATGACATCATTATTGTCGAGTCACATCATATTATGACATCACATCATTATAAATATAATTACATAATATGACGTCATTATTGTCAAGTTACATCATTTTTTAACATTCTTGGTACTTTATAAATATTTGTATAAGTGTGTTATGGTTTTAAACCACCTTATATGTGTCCAGGAGTCAAGTTACATCATTATTGTCGAGTCACATCATATTATGACCTCACGCATTCAGTATATTTTTTTGAAAAAATGTCAAAAATTGACCCGAAATCGTGTATTATATAACCTTTAATTTTGGACAATTTTTCACTTTTTTGGACCTAGAAATAAAAATTGCCGAGATGCTTCCCATGGACCCTAATACACCCCGGGAGTCCATTTGGATGGGTAAAACCATCCAATATGCCTTCAAAACTGTAATTTATCCGTTTACAACTTGCACCAATTTCATAAACTCGAGGCTACTATGGACATTTATGACAACATATAATGATCACTTATGCTTCCAAACGACATTATATGACTCCGGGATGTGCCCCAAGTATCTTGACACTTTTCGACATCGGGTGTCGAAACCTCCGAAATTCGCTAAAAAAACGTGTATAATATTATAGCCTTTAATTTTGCCATTTTTGACTTTTTTTACCCATAAACAAAAATTGCCGAGAAGCTATCTATAGACCGTCATTCCCTTCGGTAGTCCAATTGGGTGGGTGGAACCATCCAATTTGCCTCTAAGCATCGAGTTTACCCGTTTTCGTACATGCCTCTTGTATTAGCTATAAACTTGTACGGGGCCTTTAAGAAGCCGACTTATGGCCGTATGTCCAAACGACATCATATGACCTCGAGATGCATCTCGTACAATTCCGTGAATTTCTGACACCGGGTCCCGACAACTCCTAATTTGTTACGAGTATTTGTTAATCAGAAATTTTGTGAAGACCATCCTAAAAGGGGGCTGTCTTGTGAACAACTACCCAATTATTTTTATTTGTGAACAACTACCCATAAGATAACAAACGCATGTCTAGCACTACCCATTAATAGATACCGTCCAATTGTACTATTTGTGGGGTCTACTCCTATGATTTCTCCCCCATTTAACTCCCTTTCTAAATTAATTGCGATTACGATTAACACTTAATTTAGGTGTGATTGTGATTTATAACTTGTTTATCAGTGATTTAAACTTTCAATTTCAATTGCAACGCACGTGGGTAGGGTCAACGCCGGAGTTCTAGGTCAATGTCGGAAAATAGACTCTTGTGGTGTTTGACAACAAATTTTTAAAATTGGGTGGTTCTAGACAAAAAAAAAAAGGGTGGTTTTTGACAAAAAAAACTGTTTTTAACGGGTGGTTTCTAACAAAATTTCCTAATAATAATATTCAATGTTAAGAAAATTTATAATAAATGGTTAAAATTAAGATTATCAATATCAATTTTTCTACCCGTACAAAAAATAAGGGGTCGTTTGGATCGCACAGGGTGATCGAAATGAATTGAACAAAGGGAAAGAATTGGAATGCGATAAAAATCCCCCAATTTTTGGGTGTTGTTTGTTTTGAATAACAAAGGAAACACAACCACCAGTCCAACCACCACACCACCACCACATTGCTTTACTTCCCACAATTTCTAGCCACCACCTAGCCACTCAGCCACTCGCCGCGCCTCCTCCACCACTCGTTGACCACCGCTGCACCTCCCCCGCCCCTCATCGCCGCTCCTCGCACCCTCACATATCTCCCCTCCTCCGAAACAACCTCCCCTAGCCCGCAAAACCCTAAAAACAACTCCTTATCCCCGTAAAACTGCCACCCGACCCTCCTTCCATCCTCGAAACCCTAGCCGCTAAGGTTTCGAGGGTGATGGGAGGGCTGGCCGACAGTTTTACGGGGATAGGGAGGGGTTTCTAGTGTTTAACGGGGGTTGTGGGTTTTTTTGCGGGGGAGGGGAGGGCGGCGGTGGTCTGAGTAGGGGCGACGGTGGTCTGGTATGAAGGTGAGCTGGTTTTCCGATGGTGTTGGTTGGTAGGAAGGTGGTGATGTGGTGGTGTGAAGGTGGCTAGGGAATGAGAATGGAAATACCTAGGGGAGAGGGGTGGGGAATGAACTTAGAGGGTTTTGGGGGAATGAAGAGGGTAAAGGAAATGGGAAAATGGTCTAACAAATAGCAGCAAAGGGAATGAGGGCAGTTGATTCCCATTCCCTTTGATGATTAACCCCAACCAAAGGACCCTAAAAAACGCGAAATTAATTACTTCGCATACGGCACTCTATATACTCTTTTTTATTTTCTCCAGATATAAAAAAACACGAAATTGATAACACAGTTATCAGATATATCCAACTCTATTCATTTCACTCTATTTGTGCTAAATATATTACAAGTATTTTTTACTAAATTGAAATTAATTTTTTAAGGTAAAGTGAAGTAAGTGTTGGGCATATAATTTTTTTTTTTTAAAGAACTGTTGGGTAAATATATTTGGTTGAGGAGAGAGAAAAAGAGATCTTCGTCCCCATCCTTCTGTTATAAGCTTCTCCCTTACAAACTTCACTTGCTATTCCACCGATAAGAGTGAGAAAGAGAGAGACGATCTACGCAATTCGATTTCAACCATTGCAGATCCACCAACAATGGCGCAACCTCTGATTAAGAAAGATGACGATCGAGATGATGAATGTAAACATTTCTCTCCCTAATTTTGCTCCATTTTGTTTCAATTGATTTTTGTAGAATTTTCTTCGTGATTTATTCAAGTTAATTTTACCGACATTTGATCAAATTTTTGGAATGTCGGATCTGATGAAATTAGGGCTGAAATCTTTCATTATAATCGTGCATTTTGATGTAATTGAATTGATTTGATTGATCGCAAGAATTAGGTTAGATCTAGGAATTAATTATGCAATTCGATTGAATTGTTGTGTAATTGGATCTGGAAAATTTGTTTGCAGCTGAATATTCTCCCTTTTTGGGGATCGAGAAGGGAGCTGTGCTTCAGGAAGCTAGGGTTTTCAACGATCCTCAGCTTGATCCTAGAAGATGTTCTCAGGTTTTCGACATTTTTCGCCTTCAATTTTGCGTCAATTTCTGAATATTATGTTTTCGCATTGTTAAAGTTGTCTACTACATTGATGTGCTTAGGTCATTACAAAACTTCTTTACTTGCTAAATCAAGGAGAGTCGTTTACAAAGGTTAGTGCTTAAGTACTGTATTCGTCGATTCGACATGTGTTCAGAACATTATTACTTTTAGCTCTGAATGTAATCATTTTTTGAAATTATTTCAATGGGATCTGCTGTAGGTTGAAGCAACTGAAGTATTTTTTTCTGTTACCAAATTGTTCCAATCAAAAGATAACGGGTTGAGAAGAATGGTCTATTTGATGATAAAGGAACTCTCACCTTCTGCTGATGAGGTTATGTGCTGCGATTGTTATTGTGCCAGTATTAGTTTTGTAATGTGATACAATGTACTAGTATGATCTGCGATGCTGACATATTTTCCCTATTTTTTGTAGGTTATTATTGTTACAAGTTCCTTAATGAAGGACATGAACAGCAAGACTGATATGTACCGAGCAAATGCTATTCGTGTGCTTTGTAGAATTACTGATGGAACACTCCTCACTCAGATTGAAAGGTATTTGAAACAAGCTATTGTTGATAAGAACCCTGTTGTTGCCAGTGCTGCGCTAGTCAGTGGTATTCACTTGCTCCAGGTTTGTTAACACACCTTCACCAGCTACTTTAGCATCCATAATTTTGTTTCGTTGCTTTTATTTTTTGATGGTTTGCTAGACCAACCCTGAGATAGTGAAACGATGGAGTAATGAGGTGCAAGAGGCTGTTCAGTCACGTGCTGCTCTGGTGCAATTTCATGCTTTAGCTTTGCTGCACCAGGTAATGTCTCTGTTATATTCTCGGTTGTCTATGTGCATGAGAATGACCGGGATAGGTATAAATCGTAGAATATACGTGTTGCTGTATTTGGTAATCAAGTTTTGGATTATTCTATTAATGATTAGGCTAGTTCGTAGCATGTTAGTCACCTAAAATGAAGGAAGAACATGATTTGTTAAAGTGACTAAAGCTCATCATTTTCTGATCCCTACAATCTACCTCCTGAGAATGTTTAAAATGCTTTATCTGT